TTCCAGGCACGTCACTGAGTATAAACATTTTAGATTCTGAGCAAAGCGACAAATGTACAAGCTTTAACATCATGATTTTTTTCTTTGTCTGTCTATAAGATGTTATCATTAAGATACATTCAAGTAATTTTTTTATAATTCTCAACAGTTTTCCAAATAATTAAGGTAATACAAAATATTTCACTTCAAAAGTAGTTGACATAAAATATAAATTTAAATATTCCGTTTCCATGGTTGATGTTGATCTATGACATGTTTACTTCTAATAGTAACGAGCTTGATATTTCATTTTTGTATGAGAATTTGTATTAGCTACCTTCAAGTGTATTCGTATATGAACTTACTGAATATTAAATAAGTAATAACGGTATAATTGAAAATCATATCTTAATATATTTGCGATTATATTGTTAAATAACTTAAATATTTTTGAAAAATCACTTTTTTTTTTTCAAAATAATTTATAAAACAAATTGAAAACCATGGACTCATCTGCAGCAGGAAGCTCTACAAAACGGCTGAACGAAAACGGATCATCATTAAAAAGTAAAAGAAAGTTCGTCGAGGAGATTGATCCATTGGATGAAATGTTGCGAAAAAATATAAGAGGTTTTACTTAGAATATTAATAATTACATATTCTTAGATTTGTTTTCACTTTAAATAATATTTAAAAGGACGAAAGTGTACGTTGAGAGTAAAAGGGCTGTGAATCTAGAAGTTCTGAGTCTCAAAGATACTTGCATAAATTTTCTGAAGAAGAACTTAGACGGTACATATTATTTTCTCGGTTTACTGTGATGTGTACACGATTTTAACTCTAATTTGATTTCACTAGTATAATGATATTATTGTAATATTACGTTGTTAATTTTTTTAGATTTGAAATCTACTCAAGGGATCCCGTTCGACCATCTGGAACCGGTCCTGAAATTCGCTACTCCCGAGCAGTTGCACAGGATTGAAAAAAATAACATTTATCTGATGCAACACACCAATGAACTGTGGGAATACCACACTAAAAAACATTTTCGGAACGAGTACCCTGGCAGAGGTGAAACATGGAAAGACGTGTACTTTGTAATTATCAATAGTTTTTTTGTTTCTTAACGTAAGTTTTGTGCCCATCCATTAGTCGCCAGCACGTTATTATGGTTTTTGATTGTAAGATATAAAATTACACTCATTATTTACAAAACAAGATGTATATATAATATATTAAGGTTTTTGCGCATATCAGCAAATATGTATCAGTTATCTAGTCATTTTTTCAATTGTATTGATGATGAATGTTATTCTCATTTAACCATAGTCCTTTATTGTTTAGACATGTGTAGAAAATCGCGAAAATAAATTTAATGTGTTACGCTTGATGATGGAGTCGAATTTACTCAAGAACAGACATGGTCTTGCACCAAGACCGTCTGTGAAATGCTTAAAGGACGAGTATGTTAAATTGATTTTTAAAATAATAATTAAATTTTATTTAATGATTGCATAATTAATTAGTCATACATTTGTTCAAGGGTAGAGAAGCCATTTCTATAACCTTATGTTATAGATAATCCCAAATTTTAAAAAATTTTATCAAGATGATATTAAATTAGTTAATTTTTATGGTGATATCTAGAAAAAAAAATAAGAGAGGCACCTGAATCTCAAGTATATGCAAAAACACGCATCCACACACAAGATTGGAAAATTATAGTTAGATTTTTGATACATTTTTCTTTTTATTGTTACATGTACAATGTACACTTTGTGTTACCGTCAATGTTAAATTAACATTATTTACATTAAAATTTCTTTAATAATGATTTTGAATGGTTTTGTCAATGACTAAATTTAATATAGCTTCAATTTTTGTTGTACCTATGGAATAAATGTCGATATATATAATCGATATCGATAATAACGTTTTTCCATGTGAAAGTTCATATTTATGGATCTCCATAAAAGTAATAAAATTATCTATACATTTGAAGACATCATGTACCTCTGTATAGTACCTTATTACATGTTAAATTTTCATTGACTATGCATAACACATGATCATCATGACTACAATGTATGTCATAGTTATTCGTCACTTATGAAAATGGTAGGCCAGTCATGAAAATTATGTATAATGAAGTATTTATGTCATTGACTGCATCACTTTTCTTAAGCTAGGCATTTCATAAAAATGCCTTTCAACAATCTTACTGCCCATAAAAAACAAAGGCCCACCACTAGCCGGCCCGGGAAGCCAAAATAGTGGGAGGTGCCCTGTATATGGGGACCGGGTTGATCAACCGATATCAACTTAAAACCTCATCGGTGCCACGGGAGAGGGGAGCCCCACTGTACGCCCGTCCGGCTTGCCGTACGGGAAACAGTGCCCCTCAAGGTTGAGGAGCCTAACTCGGCTGCAACGTGGTGGCAGTGGGACAGGCGCGACGATAGAGGAAACCCAAACCACTGTACCTAGTGGAAGGTCGGACCCAAAGAGATCCTGGTCTCTCCGGCCTCGAAAAAGTACGGCTTCGGCCGGTGCTGGTGGTCCATAGACGACCCGGGACCGATCGTCCGGCTTGCCGGCGTCGCTCCCGCACGGCCTCGGCCCGCGAATAGCGCCTAGCGCTAACATGCGGACCGGGTGTACGTAGGCGCAAGCCAAAATCCGGGAATCACGTGCCCATAAAAAACAATTCAACATATACAGGAAATTTTCAATAACACCTTTATAATTCCATTGACGGTTACATATGTTACGAACCCCTGAATAATATTATGTTCGTATTATGTAGTAACATGTGCAGTGTCACACCGGGCAAATGCTGAGACAGCATGTTACCCGGACGCGGACAGACGTCGGCCATTGGAATGACCGAGGCAGTCAGTCGGGTATTAGCATTGGCCGAACATACTTTACGGAACCTTTTATAGTTTATGTTTTATTATATGTATTTTAATTGAGTGTCAAAATAAAGTGTATATCTTTGAGAAACGTGATTACAATTCCTCTTCTTTACACGTCGTCTTCCTCTCCGAGAAAGAATCCGTAACACATATAATATGCTATTATATACTTATGTCCCCAAAGATTTGGGATATTTTGTGTACGGAAAATATAAAATAAATATTTGTTAAATTTTGATTTTATTATATTTTTAAATTTTGATGTAGAAATAAGGTAACAAAACGTCTTTTAGTAAAATTATAAACATTAATGTCGTAATAATTGATCGTATGCATTGAAAGTTCGCGATAAAACGTTGAATAATTATTCTATTTTGTAAAAAATATGAAAAATATGTTTAAAAATACAAGTATGCATCGTATGTGTTTGTTTATTATTATTGTGGTGTTGAGTTATACAAATTAAAGCTAATTCATCTAATTTATAATCACATATGGAATACACTTAGTTTCATTTAAAATTGACTGTGCAGTGCGACCAATCTGAATACAAAATTATCTAATCGTATACTTCTGCAGTTATATGAACTATCCAGTTATAGAAGGTGATCCATGCGACTTAATTTCCTGAGATCCGTTTTTCGAAGGTAATAGTAAATTAATTTCATGTGTATAAGAACTATTCACCTGTATTTCACGCGATTGTCATTATTTATCTTATCTTAATGGTCATTCAATGGTTGCATAAGTCGTCATAGGTCGGATCCGCCACGAAGCAGCCCAGTGCTAAATGTTTGAAAGACCTGGACATAGGGTCCGGCGCCACTGGTCACGAAGGAAAACGAATAAATTAACGTTTACTTTTCGATAACAACCATGCGTGTATCGCGAACCTGGATGGCCGTCGCCAATGTTTAACTGATAATCGATGCGCCCGTCGTGCGTGCAATGAGAACATATTTAATGGACAGGGTCTAAACCGGATCCGTATCCTTCGCGTGTCCGGCGGCAAAAGTGACTACCACACGCGCCCTAGGGTCGCATCATCACAACCAGAGCCGTGATTAATGAGAGGCAAGGGAAGGCGATTTCCCCGAGGCGGAAAATTTTATGTTTGATGGGACGGTAAATTTTCGAGGTCCAACATAAAATAAAAAGTATATAATTATAATTTTTCTTGTATGACTGTACTCGTACGTTACATATTATTTCTATTACACATATTAATTTTTATTTTGAATTGTAATTATCTTAAGGCCGGCATATTTTAATTTGCCTCGAGGCGACTACATAGCTTAATGCAGTACTGATCGCAACGCAACACTTTGGGGCGCTACGAAATTCTACCACGCATGCGGTGCGTGTCACGACCGCGAAACATATGCCGTTGTTGTGCGCGCGGAGATACTCGTAGTAACAATGGATATTTTCGATTTTCTTTTGCGCCATCTTATATTACATATAAGAACCGTCTGTAATACTTTCAACCTATGTTGAGATAAAATAGATGAAACGATCACTTAAAATACATTTTCAGAAAAATATACTTTTCTCTACATCAATAAGTTCAATATTTATTCAATAGTTATCCTCTTTTAGGCGAAAACACGAATAAAAAATATGCACGATTCAATAGGCTATTAATATTTAATTATTATGGCACACTATAATGGAAATTTCTGCTTTTATTTAAATTTTGTGAATTTTCAAATTTTAATTCTGAAAATATTGTTCGTAGCATATGAAAATATAGTAGGAAAAACATTTTTGCATGAATCAGAGGCAAAACGAGTTTTTAAGAAACGTATTTCTAATTAATTAGAATTGATTAACCCTTATATTAATTTTTAAATACATAATCACACCAAGAGATTGTATTAAGATTTGTCATATAATTAAATTAGCTTATTTGTAAATATATATAAGTATAATATATATATACGAGTATTTTGAAATATTAACATTAGTAATATGTATAAATGTATTATATTAATAATGATTATCAAATTCACATTCTGCACAATTTTTTCAATTAAAAATTAAGTTTTATTAAAATTTAATTAATAAGTAGGTACTTAATATTGATTTACATTTAACGTATACATAACAATTAATTTTTAATTTTCTAATTTTCATCATTATTTTCAAGATTTTTATCTATAAAATAATTCGTAACTTTACCAAGCATCGTGACCAATTCTTTTTTCTGATTTTTAGTTACATTTTTATCGAATTTCATTGAATTTACCAAAAAGTCAAATACATTTTTAGGATCGAATTCCGATTCTATAAAGTGGTCTGAAAAGTGTGTTTGGTAATTATCAATGTATTTCACCAATTCTTCGTCGTTTTTATTTTTTATCTCTTCAGGCTGAAAATCAATAAATATTTGTAGTAACATTTGTCTCTCGCTAATAAGTAAGATGTAATACACTAGTCATTAGCTAATAATTAATGTTTTATTTTGATCGTTATAACTTTTTTTTCGAATTAATAATTAAATTAAATTAATTATTTAAATTAAAATTATAATTTATAAATTATTAGGTAGATACGTACATACTATATTCTAGAACAGCGGTTCTTAACTATAGGGTCGCGACCCAATTTTGGGTCACCAATAATTTTAAATAGGTCGGATAAAAATTTAAAACGTTAGTATAATATTTTTATTTTTAAGGCTTATAAATAATAAATGAAACCTCATGTACGTTGATTATCATGGAAAAAAATTTTAACGAGATTTTTGAATTAAGAACTGAAATAGAAGTATTTTTTTAAGAGAAAAAAATTCACGGTTATCCATCCATTTTCAAGATATAATTTGGTTGACAAAAGTTGCATATCTATCAGATATTTTTTCGTTATTAAATGAGTTAAGTTTGAGTATGCAAAGGCCATTAACTAATATTTTTACATATTGTAATAAAGATATTAACTACAATCAAAACCAAATCAAGAAACAAGCTTGATGTCGAACCCACGATGCGTATTTTACTCACTAACTCTATAGAAGAACTCTAAATTGATTCATTGTTAAAGCAACATCAAGACCAAGGAAGTCATTAAATTAAAAATTATTTAAAAAACAACACAATATTATTAAAAGAAATGTTTATTTTTAAATATAATGTAATTAATATTATGACTTGTTATGAATACAAGTAATATGAGTAAAAAATGTTATTCAATTAAGAGTACCAAATAGTTATTTTTTATTCTGCCATTGAATATTATTTATAAAAAGATCGCAGGAAAAATTTGGTAAATATCTTGGGTCGTCACTACACAAAGGTTAAGAATCGATGTTCTAGAACTGCGTTTCTCAATCAGGGGGTCGCGACCTCCAGAGGGGTCGTGAACACCTTGACTTGGGGTCGCGCAGGTCAAAAATAATAAAATGCTGATTTACAAAATACACCTTTTTATTTAAATATTTAAGACTTTTTAAATAATTTTAAATAAATAATTAGTGTGATCTTTGAATTTGTTTTACAATTAAAAGTTGCTTAATTTGTGGTTCAACATCTGAAGCACATAAAAGTAAGTTATTTTCTAGTGATAACAAACGATTTCTGTACTTAGTTTATATTGCCACCATGGATGAGAATCCTTTTTCGCATAAATAAGAAGTAGCGAACGGAATCAAAATTTTCAATGCCTCTGATACCAAACTTCCATATTCATTTTTCCGGGCAATCCAAACCTTATTTAAATCTTGAAATCCAAATTGTAGCTGTAATTTCTTATCAGCTGATAATTCTATCAGTTGGTTGTGAGTCTCAACTGGTAATTTGGCAACTGCAACAATATTTTCATCAAATGGATTAAGAACCCATCTATTTGAGAAGTCATTGTCGTTACACGAGAAATATTCGAGTAATTTAATTTTCACTTTTCTTAAATACGTTTTCATGGTATCAAAAACACGATCAAGAATAGGACTTTTTAAGTTTACATTTTTTTCAATGTAATTTGATGTTAAATCAAATGCATCAAAATTTCGTTTTTCGAGACGAATGATCCAAATTCCAAGTTTTTTGATAAAAGCATTAACTTTATCTGACATTATTAGAATGTTCTTTTCACGGCCTTGTAAGCTTATATTCAAGTCATTCAAATGTGAAAATATATCACTCAAATAAGCCAAATATAGTAATGTCTCATTACCTTGGAAAAAAGTTAAAAATGTTTTATTTCGAGCTTTAAAAAATATTATTAATATTATTATTATTATATTAATTATTTCGCAACTCAAAAATCCGCGTTAACACTTTTCCTCGTGAGAACCACCTAACTTTGATATAGAAAAGCAGTGACTTGCGCTTGGAGCCCATTTCTTCACATAGTGCGGAAAACAATCTGCACTGCAGCGATTGACTTTTAATATAATTTACTATTTTTACAGCTTCAAATAACATTTTTTAAATTATCTGGCATTTGTTTTGTGGCAAGTGCATGCCTGTGAAGAAAACAATATGTCCATTCAATATGTGGCATTAATTCTTTTAATTTTACTATTAAACCACTATTTTTCCCTGTTATTGCTCTTGCGCCATCAGAACACATTGAAATACATTTGTTCCAGTCCAAATTTTCATTTTTTGTTGTTTCAATAAATAATTCAAAAAGACCTTATCCAGTAGCATGACCTGGTATTGATTTGCAAAAAAGCATATTTTCTTTAATTGTCCCGTCACATTCGTAGCGAACAAAACATAAAAATTGTGCCAAGTTTGTTCCGTCTGTTGATTCGTCAAACTGAATAGAAAAATACTCACTTGATTTTAGATTTTGTACTATTTGATTGTGTACATCAGTTGACATTTCATTAATTCGTCTTGATATTGTGTCATTTGAAAGTGGAATAGTTTTTAATTTGTTTGTTTCTTTTGCAACTATCATAATATTGACCATATCAATAGTAGCGGGTAGAATGAGATTCTCAGCAATCGTGTGCAGCTTTGATTCCCTAGCTACCCTAAGTGCTACTAAATATGATGCTTCAAGTATTGCGGTGTTATTCTGACTTGATTTAAGAATACAAGTTTGTTGATTTTTTAAAAAAAGTGATTTACGCTCAAAAAAATCAATTGGTTTTTTTACTAAAAGTGGGTGATTTGTTTCCAGATGTCGAATTAATTTTGAAGGTTTCATACTTTCTTGAGATAGAACTTGAAAGCAAACAACACATTGCGGCTTATTATCATGTGAAATAAACCCATACTTCAAATACTCATTGTTATATGGCCTGAATTTTTTTTTCGCTGGTTCATCAGAAGTAGACGAAGCATTACGTTTTGTTATATATTTATCCATAATCATTAATTCAAATTACACAAAACTAAAAAGACCCACTAAAAACCAACTTAATAAACGCAATATCACATGAATTTAACACGAGCGACGCGCGACTGTCATCGATAAATTAATCGTTTCATAACACACAAAAATAATATTAAAAATAACAATAATAAGCGGTCGATTAAATGTAGATATCTCATCAATAAAACGGCCACTACTCCACTAATGGAAATTCCTAACGACCCGATACATAACTTTCAAACTTGATTAGCTTAAGTTACTAGATATGATATTTATAAATTGGTATTTAAAATGTTATATTTCGTTTGGTTAATGATAGGATATTTTTACTGTTTAAATTTTTACCTAACCTAGATGGAGGAGGAGTCGCGAAGTGATTGACTATATTTTATACCTATTTTGGGGGTCGCGACACTAAAAAGGTTGAGAAACGATGTTCTAGAACATAGGCGAAACTACCTACGGGTCAGACCAGTCAAGCCATGGCCTGACCTAATACTAACGAAAAATATGTATATATTATATATATTATTATATATTTTAATAATTATTTAGGCATTATAAATAATATATTTATAGATGTAAACGTATACATTTGTATGTTTCATATAATACTAATAATACTATAATATAATATAGTATATTGGTACAATTGGTACAAATAAGGATTATAATAGAACATAATAAGTATTTTATGTATTCAAATAATCGGTTTTATTAGTTATTGTTTAATTTAGACATTTGACGTTTATTTTTATAATTTTATTACAAGAAATAATAGTTAATTTTACGTAATAATAATTTTTATATTTTTCATTTGGCCTGACCTAATAAAAATATCTAGTTTCGCCTATGTTCTACAACTAAATAATTTAGAAAATTTAACTACAGTTTGTAGGTTCAGATCTTTATTGTAAAATATACATTTAATTGTATATCTTCTTTTAAAAAAAAAGTAGTTTATATATTTTTATTTATCTCGAATTATTTATGAAAAACCAGCCAATAGATTAGCGTAGAACTACACAATATAACAGTCAGTTCATAGGAATGAGCAGCCACTAAGAAAATTAAATCAAAACTAAGAAAATAGTACATGCATGATTCACAAAAAAAACCAAGTATATTTAATACATTACATCTGTCCCTATTTTTAGTGAACCCTGAAACATAGTGTGTTGTCTGAAACTGAAAGTATGCACTATGGATTCGAGAAGTGCACTTCATACTACTACATATTAATAAATAAGACTACTATGAAAGAGTTTTTTAGGAAGCCAATTTAAGTAAGATAGCTAATAAGGACTTAAATATATCTATTACATTTTAAGTTATATATCCTACATTAAAATAAATAATTTGTAAGTAATTTTCATATTTATACCAAACAAAAGTGTAATTCCAGTTTAAAAAATAATATCAGGTTGGTACCAAATTATAATGTGCAATTTGATTAACAAAAAAGAACTACTACTAAAAATTATTACTGATATTGTACTAAAAATTATAATCATATGAAAGGGAGTAGAAAGGGGCTTTGTATCATAGCATTGTACATTAAAAAATGTGTAGTACGAATTTTTATGAAAAATAAGGATTACATTACATCGATATTGGTTCAGAACTGTTTAAAATTTAATAATGACCATAATATAGGTAATTATCCTATGAGTTGATTCTGTCAATTTGTATAGTTAATATATTAATATTGTGCTTACTGCATTTAAATAATATTAAAATTCTCTATGAGTTATATTTTTTCTCTCATCCAGTCGCTAGTTATTATTTTTCTGTAAAACTGATTATAACAAATGAGTGTACTCATAGTAATAAGCTAGTGTTGCTTAATTTGCCATGATAGTCGCTTTGATGTTTAATACGACCAGCAGCGGATTGGCCCACCGGGATACCGGGAAAGTTCCCGGTGGGCCGGTAGTCGTATTATAACACTGGGACGATCTACTTGGATTAAAAATTCTTTTATAAAAGTAATGTATTTAAATATATTGTATTTAATTGTAAGATTTTGATAAAAACCTAGTGTAAACGTGATGTAAACAGGTCTACGAGCATTTAATCCATTAATAAAGGAGACTTTTATGGAAAATTATTATTATTGGATGGTGGGCCGGTCATACGGTAATTTCCTGAGCCGAAATATTTAGCCAATCCGCCGTTGAATACGACCCTGATTAGAAAATGTAATGATGCTTCAGACTACTATAATATACTTAACTTACTTGAAGGTTCATAGCTTGTTCTAAAACTTTATCAAATAATTCTTGATTTATTTCTATTGGTTCATCTGATTCTTCTGAGTTATTTGAATCACTCTCGTCATTCATATCATCCATGAATTCAATGAAATCCGAATCATTGCTACAATCATCACTTGCACTACTAGTCGAACTTTCGCTATTTCTGATTTTATTTATAAATGTGGTAATTTTATTTTTTAGAATACTAAAAAAACTATCTTCTATCGGCTCAGCAGTTATCAGTTCATCATTTTTTAATTTACGTTTTATTACATGACCATTTTTTGCGACGATTGACTCAATTTCGGGAATTTCAACACCGTTTACAAACTTCTTTGTCACAACTGTTTGAACTTCTTGAACATCATTTTTTATCTCGGGTATTTCAATGTGTGACATTTCTTCAAGTGTTTCTTTTTCGGGCGACGAATTAGCGTTTTCTTTTTGATGTCCAAAACTAGATAGAAGATTTTTGAACGAGCCATACATATTTGTTGCGTACTGATGAACCGTAGCCCCTGTATCGCGTTTGCTCTGAAAATCAAGTAAGTGTAATGTTAATAATGTACGTAATTACGATCCAGTTTTGAGTCATATTAATTTTCAATGAATATTAAAAGATTTAATAACTTTACAATGGTGTAGAACGTTAATTAAATAGGCACAACGAAAGAGTAAAACTATTGGTGAGCTGTAACTAAAACGGAAACCTATATGGTCATATCGGAACATACCGACTGTCTAGGCCAGAGGTTTCCAACCAGAATGCCACGAACTTGAATTTAGGGTACCGTGTAATTATTTCAAATTATATAAAGCAGTCATTCATAACATTCGCGTGCAAAATAAAAAAAAACATATCGAAATTTAAAAATAATCCAACCACGCACACACACACACACACACACACAATGGTGGAACAAGGAGGTGGAAGACGGGAATTCATCCACGGGCGTAAAATTTTAAAGGGTGTAATTTTTGTAGTTATTAACAACTAATTTGATATTTTTAACTTTATTAAATAGGTACTAATATTAGGTTAAAACTAGTAAAAGTATTATTGTACATTAATTATTAGAAAAAATGCTCGATAAGAGTATTTGATTATTGGTCTATGAAAGGACATAATTTTAACATTTTTTCGGGGCGTAAAAATTTATAGTTCCACCTCTACACACTTTCAGAATATTAATTTCCATTTAAACATAACATAACCAACGTGTAACTGAAATCGTGCACATTTGAAATTTTGCTGATAACTTTTGTCACGTGTGACACCGACCACTCGTTTCGGTTGCGAAGCAGCTGCCAAAAAAACACCCACATCGTGATCATTACGGTATCGTTTACCGCGGCGTACGTACCAACAAAGTTTCCATGACCAGTTTTTGGATGGCGTCATGCGAAACTTCCTTGCCGTCCCAGTAGTCCTGGAGCGCTTGCGCCGTCACGGTCGCCACGTTCACGGATAACACGAGCACCTGGTAGGTCGACAGGCTGGGCACCACGAACGTGGCCACCTTGAACACGATCGGCAGGTACGGCGCGGCCACCACCAGGCTGTTATGCACGTCCTTGCCGACGTCCACGATGTTCACCAGTTGCGATTTGAGACTGTCCATCGTAGTCGTCTGACCCGAGTCAGCGTCGTCGTCCACCGTCTCGTCCGTGACAACGACAGCGCCGTCAGTCGTCTTCACCGTCTTGACGTCACCGTCGATTTCGGTCGCGGTGGCCGCGGTGACTGTCGGAGGATCCGTTGGCTGCACGTCGCTCTGCTTGAACAGATTGCTGACCGACGAGAAGAAGCCGCGTTTCTTCCTCAACAGTCCGCCGTCGTTCAAACCGTAAATCGCTGCTCCGTACGACGTTATGCGGTACTTGTTCGGATCGTAATTGGCTATGACTTTGATCAGCGGCACGTATTTGTAGCCCTGTGGCACCATCGGCAAGCCGTCGGCGATGCCATTGTTGTCGGCAACGTAAAGATCATACGTGTCGCCATGACCTCTTCCGTACGCCTATCATGCGCAAAAATAATAATAAGAACGGTCAACAAGTGTGGTGCGAGTGATTATGGTTCGATCGGTCGATCATCGTGGCTCACGATTTTTGGAATTCGTTTTGAGGGGAGGAGCAGAGTTCCTTTGATACAATATTATCTCGTATTAAAACACAAAAATGTTTAACCCATTAACAATGTATTACTTAGGATTAAATTCTTATATTAACGAAAAAAACGTAATATATAATTTTAAATCCTAGTGAATAATGTATCACAGCCTCGGGACGTGTGGAGGGGTCCAGACTTGTAGTTTTTTTTCAACTTCACTTCTTCATACTATGTGACTTCCAGCGATGTTCCCATCAACTTTGTTGAGAGTGTACTCTACCGGCAGATGTCTGAATATGGACATTTTTATGATTGACACGGAAACGGTTGTATATAATAGCAGAAAAAATGAGATGTATACATTTTTATTTTTTACCGAAATAGAAATTACAATTATTTGAACAAATCGACACCATCGTAATTATATAATACACCGTCAATAATTACTTTTAATCGTCTGAGGGAAAACTGAACGTCTATTATAAAACAAGACTAAAATTAAAATTTGTAAAACTAATTACATTTAATATTTCTCCGCGAAGTGCTCGAGAATTTGAGAGTATACATAATAATATCCATGAATTTTCAAAATAATGTTGAGAATATACGGCGTATATGTAGTATACTCTATGGGAACATCACTGGTAGCTTCTCTAAAAAATGCTTTTCCAATTCAATTTTGGATTATGGTGTAATTTGTTAACCTACCCGAAAATGATTGTAAATAATAAAAATATCATTATCTAACAATACAACCAATGTATAATTAATATGTCCATTGTTACGCTTGAGATCTAATATGACTATATGGAGCGCAAGAAATTATTATGAACATTATCTATTTGTACATACATGAAGATATTATTTGACTTACGAATAGAAATTGATTCACAAAGACACACTGCAAATATATATAGAGATTCATGGTTAACCGATGTTTTTATGTTTAAATCATTAATATCGACATAATCACACGAATAAACGATATACTTCAGTGAACTTATACAAAACAATATATGCAAAATCGCTGCCCTTTGATTATGAACAAAATTATGTAGGTATTGACTTGTCATACAAAATCGACGTGGTAAACTACGTGTACCTATACAATCACGTATACGTGCGTATTTTGTCATCTCAGCTACAACTTTCATTTGTGTAAATAGTATTCACGTGAAAGCTGTCAAACATGACGTTTTAATTTTAATCGCGAAATTCTATTCGAACTACACGCTGTCAATCATTTATTGAACATACAATTTACCTCTTATGCGTTATTCTCGTAAATATTATTATATGATAAATATATTAGTAATATCAAATTATTATTAATCATAGGCATATTACACGCCTATATAATTATATATATATAATTATATTAATATATAATTAATAATATTTAGTTAGTCAGTTCAACTCTCCGTTTAGATATCCTGAGAGATCTTTAGAATCTTTGGATTTTATTGGGCTATTTTACTGTTGCATATTGTAGTTTTTTCTGGTCTGTTTCACTGTCTATTTTACTGTAGGTACTTACTAACAATAACTGTTCATTACATATTATAAACAATTAATGTGATATCGATCGGCGATTTAAAAACAGAAGAATAATTATTGCACTCGAATTGAAATGTTTGGTGAGCAAAAACCTTACAAGTAAAATAAAAATAAATACTAAACGACTTCTGTCAAATCCCCTAACTTCTAAGTAAGATTGTTAGTCTGAAAAAAATATGGTGATGGTTGTACAAGTATAAACTCTGAATATAATTATGAAACATAAAAAGCACTGGAGAAATAATATCCCCATTTTTAAATAAAAAATAATCAGTAAAATTAAATTTTTTAATATCTTTTTGCTAATATCAAAGAAAATTCCTGATTTTTTTTTAAATATTATATTAAATATAGTTAAAAATAATATAATCGCCGTGTAATTTATTTCCAACTAGTCAAAAATATGGGAACAATGTATAATAAAATACCTGTGAATGGCAAAGTTGCTTTGTGTTTGATTACTATTTATAAAAAAGTGTCTACACCTATTATAATATCATATTTTATTTACAAATATTGTATATTTATATATAAGTAAATATTATATAATGTAAATACATACAAATATATACATGAAGATATCAACTTCGTTATGCTATTTGTTTATTTAGCTATAGCGAGTTATTTAAGCATGAAATTCATACAAGTTCACCAATCAATCATCTATTTCATTATTGTAAAAAAATATCATACTATATAATTAACGAAAACAATCATTGCATTGTAGATAAGTTGTTAAATGTTAATGTCTACCATAAAAATATATAATTTTTAGATATAAGTATTTAGTCAATGAATAAAAAATAATATATACATAACATTTTTATTAAATTAAAATTAATCACAATTCATGGCTATATTTAATATATGTTATTTTATTTATTAAATTAATTTTAAATGTTTTGAAATTAGTAACAGAGTTGAGCAAAAATAAATCTAAATAAAGAATAAGAGGTATTTTAATCTAAATAGTCTTAGTTTGAATAAAAAAAAAATGTAAATAATTCTAAATAGTTTAATTTTTGAATTAACTTATATTATTTTAAATAATATTCAATTTTTGTACAATAAAATTATAACTATAATAACAATATAATATAATAACAATGACCATGTCAATCATGACGGTAATAATAATAAATAATACTGTCACTGTCACTCGTAGTATAAAATACTTAATTTATCCATAACTTTATAATATATTTTATGCATTTATAGAAATATTAAAAAATTATAATAAACCATCAATGTCGAATAAACCAACCACAGTTACATAGTGCTTTATATGTGTAACAATTTTAAAAATCATAATTGGCTTTGTGAATGAGCAATTTTGGCTCTGAAGAATGATGATGTCAACAAAATAAACTAGACAATTCAATTAAAGGTACTGGGTTAAATAGCCAATTACAAATAGATTGACATAGTTATAGATGAGGAACAAGCTGTCAACTACCAAATAGTTTCTTAACTTTTTGGAACCATCTGGAATGCCACCATCATCTTAATTTTAGAAGTTGGTTATCAGTTGATGCTCATTTGCAACTTAGATCCCACAAAATTGTGAAATGTAATAAGACTTAATGTTAAAATTATCACTGAACATAATCAAAGTTACGATCATCAATAGCAAATGTTAAAGAGAAAATGTGCTTGTATCACAAATCCAATGATTTTGACTGATTTGTCATTTGATTTTAAGCAATTACAGTTTCCAAAGCGTCTGGCTTTTGATATAATCATCAACAGGGCTCAAGGTCAATCGCTAAGTAGTAGAGGTTTAAATTTACAAAAATTTCTGTTTTTTTGCATGGACAATTATTTGTCGGTTGCTTCAGAGTTGGAACACCGAAATATTTTTATGTTTAAATACCTACCGAAAAAAACTCAAAATATTGTTTATTTGACAGCATTAAGAAAAAAATGTTAAGACATTAACAAAATTAAATTTTTTCCCGATAAATAAACAAAATGTATTTTTTTTTTTTTGTGTTACAAGTTGGTTAGTTGTAGCTGGGCATCCGCTACATTTAATATTTGATTAAAACCACCTAAATACTTTATTAAAAATATATATAACTTAGAGCTGACATTTAATGGAGTTTCAAATGGGATAAATCTATGGGCATTGAAATTGTCATGGACAATGTCGTGCAGGATTTGAGTGATAAATTGTTTAGAATAATGAATTACTGTAAAAATTAAAATTATGAATAACAAAAATCAAAAACAGACAAATGAAAAATGAATGAAGAATATTTTGTTCAATAACTATTTGAATAATCTTTTATTCAAAAAATACCCAATTAATAAGATAAATATTTATATTTTTAATAGTTATCAAAACCGTCCACTTCTTGCCCGTCCTGTATACTTTGTATCCTCTCGAGTAGTTTTTCCTTGACGTCTTCTTCTTTCTTTCTTTTCTAAAATCCACTCTCTACTTTTTTTAACCAGTTTTGAAGCTCGGCCTTTTGTCATTTTTTCTCTAAAAACAAAGAAGACTGGTGAATATGCACAACACTAGATTTCAATGTTACTCATTCCCCAACCTTTTTGATGTGTAATTAATTTGTAAATTGTCTGTACCTAGTGCTGCAGGCATAGGCATAGCACCTCCTGTCATCAAAACAAGGAAATATTTTTTTGCTTTAGTGCTATCAGGGAAATCTACTAAAAGACCTCCGAAGAATCCAGCTTTTCTTGCTTGTGATACAACTAAATCTGTTTGATATACATTTTCTGGATAAAATTGAAAAACTGCTCTTGCATTACGTCCCTACAACCATTTATATATTAAATGTAATTATTAAAAGCTTATGTATAAAATATAAAATACATTAAAGTTACCAGGCAGGCTAATAATGTTGAGAATAAACTATATAATCTTTTGGCAGGTTTATGAGATGATTTATCTGCATTACATAACCACTGTAATGTGCTTACACTATATGCACCATCAAATGTACCCGGTTGAAATGGTATACCATTTCCAATATCTCCTAATAATAAATCTCCTTCGACCTCTCTTTCTTTAGCTACTTCTAAAAAACAAAAGAAAAATATTTATAGCAATCCACAAAATTTGGTTGGCTTTTTATGAGTTCTCCATTTGAATATTTAAAAACTTAACGACAAAGCTTTATTTCAGATTTTACCAATCATAGAAATCAAACTAAGCAAGACTAATTTATTCCACCTTCTCTGTTAAAAAATTTAAATAAACTATGTAAATTTATAAATTATTTTCAAAATTGACATGATATAATTTTACAATAGCATGTAAAAAGTGCAATGAACTTAGTCTATATAAAAGAAAATTAAATATTAATGTAAAGTAAAATAGGTACAACAAGTAACAAAGTAAATCCTTATGATATGCATATTTCATATATCTTTTGAATAGTGTTACAATGAGACTATGGTCACTCGCTTAATATAGTCTTGATAATAACATTTTGAGTTTTGTAAAGTTATTAAACAAAATCAAGATTCATACTTAACATGGACTCAGAAATATCCATTCCAAACCAAACATGCCCAGATTCCTCAGATACACTGCCACTTAGACCAGAACCACAGCCTAAATCTAAGAGCAAACAAGTCTGTTCTTCAGGCAACATCAATAATTCCAAACATCTTTCAGCCATTTCTAATTGAATATTAATCATTCGAGAACTAATAATATTAAAATAGTCATATTAAATTATAAATAAAAACTTATAATTTTAAACTAAAAATGAACACTTACTTTTGAGTATATTTTCGTGCTTCATCATCATTGTAAAACTATATGGAAAAACATTGTTTTCAAAAAATAGAATAAAATATAAATTATTATAAAATTATAACCTAAGGATGATAAAATAAAATAAATAGGTATAATGGCAGTTTAGCTACCGAGAGATTTTGGCAAATTTTTTTATCGAAACCTACGTAAATCAAAGTTTTAAAAATGGCAAAAAAAAATCGGCGCTGATGCTTACTTTTTGAGTTATAATGGTTTGAAATTCGAGGATTCTTGAATTTCGGAAACTATTTCAGCGTACCTACCAAGAGATCGTATTGGATTGTCGCCTCTCATTAATATAATAATATAAATACTTTAATATATTTAGTTTTTACCCTGTGGGCTGTGACCTACATGAGGTGGTTTTGCATAACAAGTCAAGGGATATTATCGATTTGCGGACTGCCAATACACATATAGTCACTGCCAAGGGATATTTCAAAACATTATAACTAAAGAAGTAAACGTTGGCACCATCATTTTTGAAACGTTGATTTACATAGGTTTCGAAAAAAAAAATTTGCAAAAATCTCTCGGTAGCTAAACTGCAATTGTTCCAATAAATATTTATAGAACTTACAATTTCTGGAGGAGCTAAATGTTCAGGTCGTGACATTTTTTATATAGTGATTTGTAATTTGAATTATGATTTCAAGTTCAGAATTTAAAACTATAAACGAAACTAAATGTTTGAACAACTGAACCTCGTGGAATTGTTATCAAATATACGAATCATATCATTTTTTATTTTGTATTTCTAAAATGTTATTATCATTTTATAACTGATATCTAATTATTTATTGATAAGTTTAAGAATTAAGAGTATTACGGTCTTAACTTTGTCTGTAGCCAAGAGGAAAAATAAAAACTATCCCAAATTCTCCACGAAAATATTTGTATAATTTACAATTTTCAGTGTTTAACATTTACTTTTATTAAATTTTTATCCTAAACTAAAGCATTTAAAAAAAAAAACTTCAAAATGTCATCAAGCAGTGTAAGTATAAATAATTTTAAATAAAAGAGTCTAATTGTATCAGAAATAAAAAATTGTGAATCTTAATTAGAGACCGGAAGATCATCGTCGAAAATGGGACCGAGAAGAATACGAAAAATTAGCCAGAAAAAGACTTATGGATGATTTTGATGATGATTCCAATAAAGATTTATCACCAGTTAAAAGAGAAATGCTTAAACAAAGAGATTATCGTGTTGATTTGGATTCTAAACTTGGGAAAAGTGTTGTAATTACTAAAGCTACCCCTTCGTCACAAAGTGGAGGGTAAAATATTAAATATATTTTTTCTTAATATTTTAAATAATTAATAAATTAACTCTTTTTGTTTAGATATTACTGCAATGTTTGCGATTGTGTTGTTAAAGATTCCATTAATTTTTTGGATCATATAAATGGAAAAAAACGTAAGTCTCCAATTAAATGTTATTATATTAATAACTCAATAATATAGAAAACTTAAACTTTAAAAGTTATAAATTAAATGATTCTTTTTTTTGCATTTTAGTATTAATACTCTTCTCATAAATTTAAAATAATGTGTATATGTAATGAAAAAAATCTAATTTTAAGAAAATTATCAACTCATATGAATATTGTGATATGTTTAAATTTAAAAATATTACGAGTATATTCAAGTTTTGTTTTTTTTTTTTGCAAAAAATATAGTTAATAAAATGTAAAATGCGATTCAAACAACTTATTAATCATTGACTAATTTTATGTTTTCAGATCAAAGAAATTTAGGTATGTCAATGAAAATAGAAAGATCATCGTTGGATCAAGTAAAAAAAAGATTTGAAACAAATAAAAAAAAAATGGAAGAAAAAAAGAAAGATTATGATTTAGAACAGCGTTTGCGAGAGTTAAAAGAAGAAGTAATTTTATTAGTTGTTAATTATTTTGTTGAAGGTCCTTATAAATTTAAATAATTATATTTAATATATATATTTTAGGAAGAAAAGTTAAAAGAATACCGAAAGGAAAAGAAAAAAGAGAAAAAACGAAAACATGATGATTTGGATGATGAACCGCAACATGATGAGATGGCTGCATTAATGGGATTTTCTGGTTTTGGTTCATCAAAAAAATAATTCTGAATTTATAAGTATAATTTCTAAGGTATATTCAACTAAGTAAATAACTTATAACAACTATTATATATTTAAAATCCTAAAATATATAATTTTTTTTTAGTGCAAAACTCAGTTCAATAATATTTGGAGTACATTCAATTTTTTTTTTTTTTTTTTGTGTGTGTTTTGTTTTACTGAAATTCACAAAAAAAAAAAATAGGATGAAAATATAATTTTACAGCAAAAATATTATCTAATTGTAAATATAAAATTAAGTTAGTAGTAAGACAAATTACATTAATATTGCATGTAATCTGTGGTAATTGATTAATATATGAAAAATGTTATATATTCAATGAAATGATTCATATCATAATAATAATTGATAGTTTTCATACAATAATAATTTTATAAATTTTGAAAGTAAAAATTTCACCCGGATTACGAGAATAAAATTTTATTTTGAAAATGCTTATTAATATTTATTAAACTCCTTATGTCTTGACTTAATAAATATAATATTTCTTTACTCTATTACTTACATGGACTCTTATCAAATCATCCATTGATATTTCAATAATTTAGTTTATATTATAAATGTATAAATGTATAGTCATGTTAATTTTTATGATTTCTTATTTATTAATTATGATTGATGAAGTTTTGTTCCACATATTTCATACTAGTTTCACATTAGGATTGAAATAAAAATTTATTAAATATTTATTATTTCCTTACCAGAATCTATGAATCCTAAACTCCTACGATTTTTAAATATACAATGTATACTAGAATTTATATGATCATCAAAATCTGATTTTCTGTTTGAGAAAAACAGTCTATACATATATCTCATATCCATTGTGCTCACCATGACTTTACACATTTTGAGTTGTCAAAATTAATGTTGCTCGAGTCATTTCACTCATTATACATATTTACAGTATAATGTAGGTAATATATTTAAATGATGTAAAAAAAGTAACAATCCGAGTAATTTTATAATTGATAATTTTAATTGCAAACTATTTATTTGAATACCTCTGTAACTTATGGTTTTCATTAATTAATTACAATTACTAGGTAACTAAATAAAAGTAGGTAGACATATGAGAAATTGTTAGTAAACAATTTCCACCATAAACTATTCATGTGCTGTAAAAATTTAGATGTTTTTTAATTACTTACTTATTATTTTAAATAATAGATTGTAAATATATTTTAATAAAATAAAGAAAAATTACAGATTAAAAAAGATATAGAAATATATATTACTATAAAATGTATAATTTATTTTTAATATGAGTTAGTTTTATTTGTAGAACACTTTTTAACATCTAGTGATTTCAGGTTATTTGCAATATTAATTTTTTAACCATTTTATTGTGTATAATTTATATTTCTTACAACCAATTGACTGTTTATTAAACTTTTCAGAGAAAGATTAAAGGTGACGCTTAATAAGTGCTGAGGGAAGTAGGGAGACCTACACCTCTTACTTTAAACCCTGTGCAAGATCTCTAGTTTCCACTCATGTTCACTTTATCCTATTTTCATAGCACTAATTATTCTAGTTATAAATCGATGTTCAGTATGATGCGCGTTGCCAATGAATACCCGTTTTCCTCTTTTTGTTAATATTATGTATCTATGTTCTTTTTATTGTTAAACAAATTCCGTTATTATAATAATTATTAGTAATAACTGTAATTTGGCCACTATCCATTCTATATAAACTAAAATAAATGCTCAATCAAACGATTGTTGTATATACGTTTTCTAGATTATATATATTTCTAGATTATATATATTTCTAGATAAATATATTAGATCTAATTTTTATTTTATATTATTCTTAAAGTTTAAATATTTATATTTTTCCTTAGATTTAAATAACATTTAATTTTTTATTACATGGAATACATTTAAAACATTTAAGCATTGGTCAACCTATTGTACAAGCAAATTATTATCTGAAATATAATATGTGATTAATGCTTAGGATTTATCTATATAGTTTTAATGATTCAATAGCAAACTAGCATCAAAAACATAAAACATTGGGACTCATTTAATTTTTCTTGAACAAAAAAGGAAGACTGTGTTATAAGACTTTTTGGTTTTGTATCTTAAGAACACAATAATAATAATAATTCTGGGTATATAATTATTTTTTAAGTGATAATACAAAGGTACATAAAATATAAGTCAATAATAAAAAAATAATAAATAACTATAAAACATTTAAAATATTAATTAATTTTCAGATTCCTGTATTTGTATGAATATTCACACTAAACAGCAAATGCCCGCATAACTGTAAATCAAAAAATGTACATGGTTAATATATTAATCAATATCTAAATTTACACCATTTTCAATTAATTCTATATACTGCAATGATTTTTTAGATTTGTAATTTATATTTGGTACTCTATACATAAAAAAATTATATTAAGTTTATAATTTAAACAAAATAAAATATTTAACTACTAAAAGATAGATGGTAAAATATCTATTTATTATATTTTGCATGCAACAAGCAAATTATTAAATATTACAGAATTAAAAATGTAAAAAAAAATTCAACAATTAAAAAACATGAAGTGATGAAGCATTTATGATTATAAAAACTATATCAACTGACCAACAAATGTATTTTATAATTTTAACTTAAATTTTTTATCAAATGAACAAATGACTATATTACACCCACCATTATAATTAATAGTTCCAATAAAAAAAGTTATTGACTTACATTTTTTCTATCGGACAAAATAAAGGAATATAGTCATTTATTGAATTCAAGATTGTAGTCACAACACAGTCTTTTAAATGTTTACATTTGCCAAGTTCATTGTTAGGTGTAGTACAATTTTGATAAGGTTGACCACTCTAAAAGAAAAAAAAACATTAAGCAATGTACACAATAGATAATTACGTAGCTGAATTATATAAAAGATTTAGATTAAGTCACTATAACTTACGGTATTAAATAATACTTGGTAGGGCGTAATGGTTTCATTCAATGTAATTGATGTCTGAGTTTCATTAGATATATTCAACCATGCTATATTACTGATATTATGTAACAGTGTTGAATTTGAATTATCTAATGGCTGCGCAGGAGAATCTACAACTGAGGTTGGTGATATTGATGACGTCATATCCATAATTTCAGATGCTGAATATTCTACATCTTCTGGAGAATAGCCATAGGCTGGCCTTGATGACATTTGTAAAGCATAGCCACTGGAAATTAATGGGGAATGACTTGAAAACCCTAGAAAATACATTTGTATTCATATAAGATTGATTATTTTAATGACTATCCAAATAACTTATAGAAATTCATTATAGGCCTTACTTTTCAAGGATATTGCTGACATACCTCCTGGGAATCCTTTTAATCCATTTGAAAGAGATGGAGGTACTAAAATAATAAATATCAGAATTTTATAATACATTAACTTTTATATTAGAATGATCTTTTAACACATACCTGAATTATATGCTGGATTGCTGGCCATTAAAGAACCTGAAATTAAAATATGACAATGATACTTAATTATAATGAATAAGTAATAAATTTATTACCAAAATTATATTTATCATTAAGCGGTTTGATTTTTTCAGGGTCTGCAGATGTTGTTGTATCATTAGGTTTAACAACAACTAGAGATGTGAGTGGAGTAACAAATGAATACTAAAAATATGATTCTTATTATTTATAAGCACTTTATCAAAACAACACTTTATTATAAATATCATACTTTTAATGCTAGCTCAAGTGCTTTAGCTTTTGCAGTAGATTTTTCGTTTTTGTTTAATTCGTATTTATCCATTAATTGCTGTATGTTCAAATAAGCCCATAATTTTTCTAAATGACCTACAGTCAAAATATGATTCATCATAATTCGCATAATAATAACTAAAGGTAAGTTACCTATGGTTTTTTTTTCTGTAGCAACGACAGGAGGAAGGATTGGGTGATCAAAGCATGTGACAATAGTTGGTTCTATGAAATCTCCTTCAGTGGAATCGGCGTTTAATGTGCTGTTAAAATCAGACTTTTCGAGATTCCTCAATTTTCCAGCAACAATCAGTTCCGTGCCTCTAAACAACAAACTAAATGACTGCTTCGTAACCGTATCATTGTCTACCTGTAAATAATATTAGTATATATATATATATAGAAAACGTACTAGAAATGGGAATTAAAATGGTATCAGTATAGTTTACTTGAGCGTCGACGTATTTAAACGTGACGTTGGATAAGACGGGGGACGAAATTTCCTTGTAAAAATTACGAAGTTGTAATGTCGCGTCAGAAGCCTCATAAATTACCCTTGCGAAACCAGTGTTGTTTAGCGAAAGTTTTTTAAGAAAATCCATATCCGCTCCTTCGCCAAAACCCAAACTAAATATTGGGTATCTATAAAAACAATAATTATTATATACTGTAGCACATAAAGTTTAATTTCCCAGTGATATACTATTACTCATATATCCATGTGTAATAATAATAATTCACATTACTCACTTTTCTTTGTTTGTGTTGGACACGTATCTGATCAGTTCTTGTGGCTCAGTTATCCCAGCGGTCGGTTCTCCGTCCGTCAAGAATACAATAATCGGTTTAGGCGTATTCGAACCCTCTTTGAAACGTATTTCGCCTAATTTGGCTATGGCGTGCGCTTTGTTCAAGGCGTCTTCCATGTTTGTACCTTGAAATGATAAAATAATAATTTCACATTTTCCACATAGGCACCCAGAGATGAAATGGTCTGGCGGAACACCAGGACAAATCCGGGTGGCCCGTTATAATAATAGATTAAATGGCCTAATAATATTTTAGAAATTAAAAATATAGTATAACGATATTTTAATCATCAGAATTGGGGAAACTAGTGAAGTTATGAAAAAAACCTAATTATGTAAAAAAGGAATTACTTCAAGAGTTAATTTTAATATATAGGTATTATAGAAAAAATATCTTTTATATTATATATGTAATTTTATATATCTATATAAAATGTTGAAAAAGTTTATTATCATAATTATTTTTTTTGCATACTTATAACCAAATTATTGGTCCCCTGTTAATTTTTGGCCTGGCAAAAAAAATTTTCGGCCTGAAATATTAACTCAGTCTGCCCCAGTAGGCACCTACACTTTTATCGTTAAATCTAAATATGCCTATAGGCCACTGTCTTACTGCTTTCTGATGACAGATCTTCAATGAACTTCTTTGCGAATTGTATGTTTTGTTCAGTGGCTGGAAAGACGAATCGATTTTCTGACGATGCTTCTAGACTAAAATTATTGGCTTTGGTGCTGCCGCTGATTTCGTCCCAACGAGTCGACGTCTGTTGGGTTGCGTTTATCGTCCAAACCTATATTAAACAATTACCATAAGTGTTATGGTCGTAAAATTATTATAAGACAAGTTGGATAAACTTAAAACTACGCATTTATTACTTGGGCAAAATCGGAAAAAAGAATCAACGTGAAAAAATCGTCGGCATGAATTTCAGATAAAATTTGACTCATGGCATCTTTAACTTGTGGTAATTTCAGCCCAACCATAGAACCACTGACATCGAGTACAAAAATAACATGGGTCCTAAGTGGTTTCAAGTCTGTCGGCGCAAAGAAATGTACAAAATATCCATCATCGATCTGAAAATCGTACAAAAGTTATTTATAAAGGGTTCATATGTCAATCTGAATTCAGGTAAAATAAAATATTGACTTATGATTATATTAAGTTAAATGTCGATAATAATTAATAAGAATACTTTAAATTATATAATATCTTAAAATAATAATATAAACAAATAAGTTTTATTGATATGGACATAACATACACAAACGTAACGTTATGTTCAAATTAAAAACACTTCTTTCTAAGATTATTAGTCAAATTATTTTAACAGAAAAATAAACATGAATATCATAAATTGCATTAAAAAATAAATAAACGATCTAATCTAACCGAACATCTGGCTCTATTTACAAGTACGAGAATAATAATTATTGTGCAATTGATTAAATATATTATTATGTCATTGACCATTGGGTACTGTTTAACCTGTTATCTAATCTATTTACGAATAACTTACGAGAACTTGATTTGGTGTAGATTTATGATCTACATCATATTGAACTATAAATTGACCCTTGACACCGTATTCCGTAAAAGTTAATTGCTCTTTAACAGAAGGACTCCATGTTATCTTTGCTTTATTGCCTGATTCGCGAGAAATTTGTGCCAATTTGTTTTCTAAAACATTTATATACCACTATTATAGTATACGCATATATACATAAGAATAATAGTATTCAGAATACCCATTACAAAATAAATCAAGCAAAAATAATTAATATCCCATTAAATTATTCTAGACTTCAAACATTTAAATTGGTCAAAAAACTGAACATCGACTGATGTTTATCTATTTGGAATATTATCCGTTTTATTATTTAAGTTAAGGTTATGAAATTAATTTAAATTACTATCAACCTGTAGAACGATTATGTTGTCGTTAAAATTAAAAACTACACATTAAATGAAAAAAATCGTTTAAATTCGTACCACTAGTTTTTGTTTCAATTTCATTTACTGTTTTTATTTCTGGAATTTCTAAAGTTGTAATGTTTGAAGACTCTTCTATATCAACAATGATTTGTAAATTCTTTACAACCTATATTTTCGTAAAAAACATAATACCGGTGAAATTGTAACAATTACAATACTACTTATTGATAGAATTTTGTCATTTTTATTTACTTGTCCTGGTTGCACGTTTATGACATTTTCATATACTCCTAATTTTCTTGTTAATAATTGTTCATATGTCAGATTAAATGTCACTTTACTTTCTGCTTCTATATTTACCGAAACCGTAAATTTATTTGAATCTCTTGCACTGAAAATATACAATCGGCGTTAATTGAAATTTATTTTACCATATACGAGTACTACACTTACTTTTGTTCAACATGAGCAGCGGTTTGGCCTGAATTAACAGCTGCAATATATTCTTCTTTAGCTTCTTTTTTTTCTTTTACATAAGCTTCGAATACTTTTTCGTTTATTTCCCTAAAACCAATCAAACCCAATATTAAATATATCGGGAAAAGAAAAATATCATAACTTGATGTCTCACATTAAAAACTTGGAAACAAACGCAGATTCTGGTAGAGTTACATAGAATTGTACTTCGTGGGAAGTATTTCCTTTGTTAGCCACGCGACTCGATACAACGGTCTGAGCATATCTGTACTTGATTTTCGAATGAATGATAAAACTGTAAATGTCTTCATTTTTTGCCGGAACCTATAACACGTGAATATTTAACAAAATGTAAATATATTCATGAGTTAAAATTAAACAAATACAACAACATATATGTATAATTTGAGTATTTAGTATAATATATATATATATATATATATATATATATATAATATATATATATAAAAGGTAAATTGAGTATAAACTAGTAAAAAAATGAAATCGGTAAATTGAAATATGGTGAAATGCAGTTTTTTTTTTTATTTAAAATACTTTTAATTATATGTCATATGAATACAATTGTATACTACATATATTAAACTTACATTTATCAGTTATCACATCACATCCAGCGTTGTTGTAAATAGTTAGGCACTTATAAAAATGTCGCGTAATAACACTTACCTATCGTACTCGGTGAATTTATAACTTTATCAACGATTATATTTATAATTTAAATAAATTTAGTACATTAAATATTTTAAACGGGACTTAATTTGCCGCTTTAACTGTTATACGAGGGACTCAGTTTACTTCTTTAAATTTTATACGTGGGACACAGTTTACCTATTTCGAAAAAAGATAAATTTGTTTGGACTCAATTTACCTACGCCCAAAGGGAGAGAAAGTATCATCAGGTCAGTCAGTACCTAAATATATATTTGCATAAGTAAATTAAATAACATGATATTTTTCTCCGAGTACATTTTTAGTATCAGAAATCTATGATAAATATTTATATTACTAATCATTTGATGTTAAATTTGAATTAATATTTAAATTGGTATATTAGATATCTTGCGAAATCTACAAGTAACCTTACATTAAACATTTACATTCTTATCGTTATTATATATTATCAGTTCAAAAGTTGAGTACAAACCAACTACGAATTGTATAGATTAACCATGTAAAATATATACATTACTATTAAGAATAAACGGACAAAGAAAAATTACGAAAATTTAAAAAATATTATAATTTTGTGTTTAGCCGTTTTTACTTCAATTATATACATGTTTATAGCTTTGAGTTATACAAGTAGTAAAAATAATTTGACTGCGCGGTGGAATTATTATTTATTTTCGAGGTTAATAGGTTATCGTCATAATCCTTCAATATGAATACAAATAGAAAAAAATTATGCTAATTTTTAAATGAAATCAAGATAACATAAAATTATGTATACATAATTAGCTCTGTACTGGATAATGGGGCAGTAATTTTACTATATATTTTCTTATATATCACAAAGTAATCGATATTATATACTTATACAAAATGCATTATATGATACATACATAAAAATAAATTACATTTTGTTATGTCACAATTTGAAATAAGTCCTTAAAAATGAGAAAGGTATACATGATTACAATAAAGTTTTACGTCAAGAGAAATACACATTTAAGGCACACATTCGTATTATTATACAGAGATAATTTTTATTTTTTTATAATGTAAAGAAACGATAGGAAATTAAATCAATAGCAGACTCGAATCATACGAGGAAAAGCTAAAACTAAAAAAAATGTTATGCATTAATAATGCTGATATAATATAGGTCACACGAAAGATTTGGCTTTGAAGTCACTAATTTATATTTGTATACATAATACAATTTTTTTATGCAATTTTAATGATTCCATTCTCGAATAAAAACAATGCGAGCACAAATAGATTGAATCCTTTATTCAATAATAATTAGACGGAGAAAATATAAATATTTAACATTATAGTTTTGATAATTTTTAGTCGAATGATACTATTACGAATATATAAAAAAAAAATATAAATAATTATGTAGCAGTGATGCGAATTATTCCAGTATTCGAATATCAGTATTCGATGCTACAATACAATACGTAACGAAAATTATTCATTTAAGTTTTCGCACAACACAAAACGTTTAATAATAATAGGTATTATAGCATCAAATACTGATATTCGAATAATTCAATTATTCGAATATACATTACATCTCTACTAGCTACATCATTGTATTTCATACCAGGTGCAGACAGGTCTGAAATATCATAATCATTTTCTTTTTCATGAGCAGAATTCGTATTATCAATGCTACTCATTTGGGTATTATAATATATCCGTACACACACGCGCATGCAAAAGCTGCAGCACACATGTATAAATTGGATACTAGAAATCTTTCGTTTACACTTTTGTGTTTGGGAATCGCGTGTCAAATTGTATATCAAATGCATGTGCATGACTCACGTTATAATAATGGGCTGGGATACGTACTTATTCACCGTTATATTAGTTTAATCAATTTTATCATAATAACGTTTTAAAGTGTCAGCAAAAAAATAAAAATAAAAAAATAATCGTCCTCCATTGCATTGTATAATAATGCACATTCATAATACATATACTATGAGCACATTGATATCATAGCATTGCATTCGAAAAACGCATGTATTCACTCGCAGACAAAGTGCATCGCAGTATTATACGGTTGAACTGCGTGCTCGTCATAATTTAATTGCCCGCATCATTTATTTTCTGCAATACGCAGTGTGCCCACGCAGTAGTGGCACATAAACTGTATAACCTGTGCAAATACAGCACGAATAACACGTATTTAATGTAGTATGGGTTCAGGGACGTGTTTAGACTTACTTCTAGGGGGGGGGGGGTACTCAAATTTTTTCTTTAATTCAGGCTCAACATTTACAAATACAATTTTTGGTAATATTTAAATCAGGTGAATCCTAAATATTTGTGGTTTTTTTTTTTTTTTAATCTAATGCCGGATCCACTTAGAATCGACTTTTGTGTAGTTCTTTTTCAACACCTCTGTGTTTTGAAAGTTACGCTTGTGTTTTTTTCGATTTTATACCAAGTATGGAACCAACAAAAACCCAATTCAGTAATTGCAACTATGCGTTATTTGATTTCGTTATAAAACGATTCGCATTAAAAAAATTTAAAACGTGTATCTCAAATAACATCGATTCCTTAAATACGGATTCAGGGGGGGAGCGATCCCCCTTCGCCCCCTAAAATACGCCACTAGTATGGTTGCACGATTATTATTATTATTTTTATTATTAGAAAAGTCTATTTCTACACTTAGTATTGAAAATAGGTATCTATTTACTGTAAAGATACCTTTCGTCGAGTATGACTTTAACAAGAAGACTGAGCTGAAAATTATATTTTGTATAAATATATTAAACCTCCAGCACTATATTGATAACTTGGTTTTTTTAGAACTTTAACCTTAGAATGTACTCCATTAATAATAAGAATATTTATTAAAATGGCTAGTTGAAAGTTAGAATTTTTAAATTTTTTGAGCAATTTAAGGTAAATTTTATACTGTTTAACTATTCTCCACTTTTTCAAGATTAAAAATACTTTTCATGTTTAAACTTCAATCAAATCGTTTTAAAAATGAATTATAAGTGTTATGTATAATTTTTAATTCTAATTGAAATTAATAATAATAAAAATTTTCGTTCAACACGGGCACGTAAATAGTTGCTTATTTGGTGGGGGGGTTATCAATTAACCTTCTTCAAAATGATTGGGGCTTAGATCAGTTGCGGATTTAAAAACAATAAATACATACATTTTATAGTTTTTAATAACATGTGTTCTCCAAACTTCTATGATGTTCCATAGCTGCTCGATAAAAAAAATATAAAAGCAATTTGATTTTATGTAAAGATAAGATAAAATAATCATTGGTCGGTAGTTGTCGACGACGATGAGAATTACCAGTTTTGGTATTTTTTAGCTCACAGCTATAATATCAAGATATTCTGTATTATATAATAACTTTTAATATTTAAGGTTTATAGTAGCATAACTATTTTAATACCTATTAATTTATGTATTTATTAAATCTAGTGTTCATCCTATTATTTTCGCTAATGGGGCCCACACAGTCGGGGCCCTATCGGACATGTCCAGGTTGCCCGGATGTTAGATCTGCCACTGATTTAGATAATGTACAATCAAATAGTATAATTAGGGATGGAAAACCACTCGATCGCGACACCCTTTCGCATTTACTTGAATTTTCGAATTTTTTCAGCAAACAAATAAAATAATTTTTTATTTTGTAAACATGTGTATCTTTGTATATCCCACGAATATAAAAATTAGATTTAGAAAAAGGCAACAAATAACTATGAAAAACGAGATTATATACTGATACCGAGTAACTATCGTAGCTACACACATGTACATATAACATATTTTTTATTTATTGACAACCTTTTTTTTGTTTGGTCGATAATTGGATATTTTAATTTTATAACCTAGAAAAACTCAGAGGTCAATCGCAAGTCTATTAAAGTTGACTACCCTGGTATATACTACATATCTTAATTCATGGTTACTACAATACGATCTTCGGGGGAACCAATCGCTCCTTTCACCCTCCCTCCAAATTACATGTCTCATTTAACATCACCTCATTTACCGTTGTTTCGCTATTATGTAACGAAAGTCTTAATGTTAATTGTAAAGCCTTTGTGTTTTTTTTTATTTTTTATTGATCTAAATTACAACAACAGCTATTGTGGCTATTAGTTAATTTTTTTTTTTTAATACTATATTATTAGGATTTCAGTATAACGTTAATTGTATACATGTGTTCATCAAATTATTGTTTTATTTATTAATATTTTAGTAATTTAATTTAATTGATCACTTTAAGATAATAGTTTTAATTGAAATATATACTTATTAGAGCTCTTAATACACGTGAATTAACGGAATTCACGTGTCACGTGTAAAATTCAAAATAAAAACGTATATCCTAAACTTAATATTGTACTATTAATATTTTATTAAAACTTCAAGTGTATAACATAAAATTACTAATTTTACCATTGTAAAAATGGATATATATTTTGGATAAACATGTATTTCACGTGTACACGTGAATTCCGTGACACGTGTTTTAAGAGCTCTAATACTTATCATATTTAGGTACTCTATTCTTATTTATTTTAGGTAATATCATTGATTTTAAAATAAATATAGTTTTAAATCAATGGTAATATGTA